TCCTTGTATAACTATGTCTGTTTCCATTTTCAATGTTGTTAATGTTGTTGTAATACTGCTTCTTGTCTCTTCTAACTGCTCTCTGAAATTCTTTGTTAAACTCTTTCCTGAGATCTTTGTCTTTCTCAGCTTTTGCTGGTCTTGTTTCTTGGCAATTTCCACCAGTCTGTTTTCACATTCATTCTTAATATTCATCCTTTGATTTCATTCACAGTTCCTCTGGTTCCCTATCAATGAAATTCAGGATTCAGAGTCCTGTTGTTCTCCTTGAAAATTGTAGGTTTATGTTCAAGATTGTATCATGGAAAGTGGTTCATTCTTCTGCCTTGGCTAGATTTGGAACTTTCTCATGAGCAGTTTGGGATCTGTTCCACAGTCAGCCCTTCTGCCACATCTTTGCTATTACAAGTGAGCTCTTCTACCTCCTTGTACCAATAATATAGTCAAGTTGATTTCTGTGTACTCCATTTGGTGATGTTGATACGTATAGGCATTGTTTTGGCTGTCTGAAGACCGTAGCAATGAAGAAATTGTCAGAAACTGATGAGTGGGTCTCTTGCTTTATTTTGGTTTCCTAATATATATAGTTTAGCTACTGTTTCCAATGTTGACATTTCAGTCTCCAACTATAAGCGGAACATCTTGCTTGAGTGTTATGTTGATTTCAGATTGAACTTGAACATAAAACTCCTCAATCTTCTTTTCTCTGGAGTTGGTTTGGAGCATACATATGGATAACCATCATATTAAAGGGTTGTCCACAACTGCGTTGACTGCATTGTACTCAAGTACTGTCTTTGTTATATCCTTCCTGAACATGAAAGCTGTTTTTTGTTTTTTAATTATCTTTGCCAATTGAAATGGGTCAGTGTGTTGTGGAAACAAAACACATGGGCCAATTAATCCAATTGGCTAATCTAAGGGAGTTAAATTTAGTCCTAAACAGACCTAGTTATACACAGGGCTAAACTAACTCCACTCAGTTGGTGAGTTTTTGGAACATCTAAACCCAGTCAGCTGACCTGTTCTGGATATCTAGTCATCCAAGAAAAAGAACAGGAGGAAAAGAATGGCTGAAAAAAAAATCTTGATTATACTGCCAAAGACTAGTGGCACAAAACACTTGGCCAGAGACTGGCTGTATTGGCCAGGCCATATCTACTACTACCTGCCAGGCTAATTCATTTAATGAAGGCTTGCCATTACTCTTCTGGCGCAAGTGCTCATTAGATACTGGGCATTTATTGGAGAAAATGGTTTTTAAATAGGGATTTTGGATTTAGTATGATTGTATGGTTGTAAAACCACCAATATGCTGTAGAAACAGGGCCAAGGGGTCAAACTGTGTATGTTTCCTCATGACTTCCCTCATGCTTTCTTTCAAGGTATGTCAAAGCATTTGGGCATCCCCCAGAGCAGTGTTTCTCAACCTCAGCAACTTTAAGATGTGTGGACTCCAACTCCCAGAAATCCCCAGGCAGCATGCTGGGAATTGAAGTCCACACATTTTAGTTGCGGAGGTTCAGAAACAGTGCCCTAGAGTCATTCTGCCTCTCTCTGTGCTGAAAGGGGGGATTCATTGGAGACATAGTTGTGCTGGTAATATGAACTTCAGGGAAAAGATTTTAAAAATATACAGTGACACTTTTCTTTTATTCTGAATTACGTACTATTATTCAGGATTTTGTGCTCACACTATAGGATGGCTGAATGCTACATTTACTTTTTCAAGTAAAAAAGAACCAGCCCTTTGGGGCTTTGTGAGAGATTTCCCAACTCTGTTAGATACAACCCTACAGGTCCAATGAATTTTGTACTTAATCAAAAGGAACTTTCTTGGGAGCAAAGTGTTAATTGATTGCATTCTTAGTAACAAATTGGCAATTATACCTATGAACCCTTTGGCAGACAAGACATTTCCTTAGAGACTAGAGCCAGACTAGTGGTACTGGTGCCAGAGCTGTCATTCAAGATGTTTGGAGCAGTCCATTTGGAATGAGGAGGTGGGAACCATTCTCCTGTAACAAATTGTGCCACCTCTTCTATTTTTAACTGCCCTCTTTAGAGATTAATCCTTAGAGTTACCATGATAGGAAAAAAGCACAAGCAGCCCAAAAAACCCTTAGAAGCTGCCTCCCAGGGTCCCTTCAGAAGTTGCAACCCAGCTGTACGTTCACTATCTGCTGGAAAGGAGAAATTAGCTGTTTTTAACTCATGTATATAGTGAGTTAAAATATTAATTAGTTATTTCAGTTTAATTTTTAATTAATTTTAACTTTTAATTACATATATACACTTACATTAAACCAAATCTAGTTTTAGGCTGATCCTACCCATTTTTGGCAAGATGTCACTGATTGTCTGAGTGCATCTATCCGCAGCCAAAAAAGATTATCGGGGGGGGGCACCAAAATAGCGATGCCAATACCCTTGATTGATTCTATTTGTGTAAAACATGGTTGTGATGAACTCCTTCACAATGGAAATTAACTTGTAATGCATTTTTGTGTGTCTGGATTCTGGAACATAGGTTAGGTTAAAATTTAGAAACAGTTTCTTTCTGGCATAGATTTGCTTGCATGAACTAGGCAAGCACAGTGCAAAAATCCTGCAATTGAGCAATTAGAAGGATGAAGAAACCATTTGGGAGGGTGATATCTGCAGTCTCCTAAGTTTGGGGGAAAGTTTTAGTTTGCTTTTTAAACTGTGGTAAGTTGGGGTGGGGGTGGGATGGCTGTTTTTATGTGTGTTTTTCCCCAGTGGTGGCAGACAGTGCCCCAGATATTCAGCAGTTGTGATTGGGAGCTCCAACCCATAAGAAAGGGATTCAGTCTCTTGACCTCTGAGCTTGTAAGGCCATAGTCATTCCAGGAGCAGCTTAGCCAAAAATCAAAAGCCTTCTGCTAGTTATCAATTTTTGAGCAGGGCCCTTCATGAAAAGCAAATGGGAGAAAGAGAAACATTTGGAGTGCTTCTCTTTGGCCTCAGGGATGACCAGCAGCTACATTTTCCTTTTTGAATGTTTAGTTGCCTTGATCTTCTCTTAAACAGACTTCCTGTGCAGTTAGCCATAAGGCAGTTGCTATCTTCTGTATAATTGTGGTTCTAGCTAAAGAAATGTTGCTCAGTGCACGTATTTGCAAGTTTTATTCCAGTGTAGCACAGGTAGAGGTTATATCTGGACTGTAGACGGAGTTTACTATTGTTTTTCATGGCAGAGGAAGGAAAGGTGTTTTCCATATCCAACTGGTGAGAATTAGCGGGATGTGTGGTACTGAACGGCAGATTATTTCTAGGAAATAGTAATATATTTAATTCTGGCTTGATAACTAAACATCAAATTCTTATGCAGATGAGGATGATTAGGCTCTAATTAGCTGAATGTGGAAAGACCTTTAGTCTTATTTTTAAATGCCAATGTAAATTTAAGTATCAGTTAATACAATCATATTAACATTTATAATATTTTTATCTGACAGTTGTCCCAGTGTTCATCCAAATTTTAAGATGTCATTTCATTCACTGTAAGAAACAGTCCTGCAAAACTCTGTTGGGTTTGTTTTTGGACCTACAAATTTTTTTTAAAAAATGTTTTGTTTTGTTTTTTGTTTACCAATAATTGCAATCAACTTACATCTCTCTCTCAGTATCTTAGTTGTTTCTGTAAATTTATTCATGTTTTTCTTTAATCTTTCCTATTCAAAATATTGCATTGGGTTCCTTTTCTATACACTAGTTTTATATATGGTTATATATCAATTCCTTATTTTAAATACATATTAAAGAACAAAATGAATGCAGGAAAACTCAGACTGAGCAAGATGCCAGTGTGGATCCCAGAAGAGAAATACAGAGGTATCTGTGTAAGATTAACATCTATCATTTCTTTTTCTCTGTTTTCCAGAAGAATGAAGCTAATGGATGGAAATTAATGTCCCTCTTTTCCTTTACAGTAGTTTTCCATAACCTGATACTCTCCAGATGTGTTGCAGTTCAACTCCATAATTCCCAGACAACATGTCAGAAGGTGTTAGCTGGAACTTACAGAAGTTGATGATTACCACATTTGGCAGGCAATAAATTCGGGAAGGCTCTCTATATAAACCATGTCCTAACAAGCTTTAGAAAGTTCAGAGTGTCAAAGTGAACTGTGCGTGATTATCAACAAGTACTAATCACAATGCGAACTAATGCATGTTTAGGAACAAAGATATAAATGCAGTTACTTATTAAAAGAGGCAGTGGATATAATACAATTCAAGAGACCAAACAGTCTTGGCATAATATTAGTGAGACAGTGATGCTTTATACTGTATAGTACATTAATACGCTGCAATTACCATGTGTGAGTTGTCCTGCCATATACATTTGTTTGATAAATAAAATAATAAATATAGTATCTTAAAACCAATAGAAGCAATCCTTCAGTGTTTAGAATTCAAATTTATTGCACTCTTCCAGATGGCAGCTCCAATCATCCTGACCCCAATGCCCAAGCATGAGCCAGACTTTCATTGGCTTTCTAAGGATCAATTGTATATCAGGGGATAAGGTTGGCAGATCATTCCAGAGTGGTCAGCCATAAAAAAAGAAAAGGTGCTTTGTGATACTGTTGCTACTTGGGGCTCAGGAGTGGGCTGGTTTCCCACTAGCAAGAACTCCCAATAATCCCCATCTCATGATTTCTTGGCCTTCTTCTCCCTTTGCAGCTAACCTTGGTGCTTCAGGCTTTAGGGTGGCTAGTCAACCAGTGCCCATGTTTTTAAAAATGTTTTACTTCTTGCAAACCTAGCAATACATGGCAGGGTCTAGGTAGGAGGCCAATTCTGGTGCTCTCTGATTGACCACTAGAAGAAAGATTGGCTGGCTCTGCTGAGACTTGGCAGTGATGATCTACCAAAATGATTTGTGTCTTCACAAGAAGTGAAGTAGGCCACTTTTCTAGCTCCCAAATCCAAGAATCACCCATCTACCTCTGCCTTACTAACATTCATTTTTAATTTAGTGTCTTGCTTTTCATTCAGGCTATCTTCACTTCCAAGCAGCTGTTCAACACCTGTGCAACATCTCCTGATTCAAATGGAATAGAAGGTCAGAGGTGTGTCATTAACATACAGTTGATAGGAACAGATCCATTGCAATACAATGCTTTCACTTCCTGCTATAGTAAGACATCATGGTCAACACTAGCAAAAGCTGCTGAGGGATCTAAGAAGTTCAACATGGCAGCACTTCCCCATCTCTCTCCCACCACAATCAGGGCAAACTAGGTTATTTGGTGCGGTACCCAGACCTCTGGTGAGACTGAAATGCATCTAGACATTCAGCTTTCTTCACATCTGTCTGTAGGTAAATTGGAGCACTGTTTCTAACACTTTGCTAAAGAAAAAGTTACTGGTGACTGGATGATAATTGTCCAGATCCAGGAAGCACTCCTTAAAGTAAGAGTGTGTTTATACTTTTTTTCAGAAGAGTAAGCTTAATTACTCACAAAATGAGACAATAATAGCACAGAATCAGGAGGGCAAAGTAGTATTGGAATATTACCTCACTAAAATAAAAAGTCTGGGAACTGGCTGTGAGGGCTTGTAACTGGTGTTGGGTCTCAGATGCCAAACAGGTGCCCAATATCTTCCCTACCTGAACTAGGAAAAGTAGTTTCTGGGGTGGTCTTGCAGAATCTCAGGTCCTGAGATTCTTCAATTATCTGTGCTTAAGCTTGCTACTAAAGATTGACTCAGGTTTTAGAACATCGTAGACCAAGCACTTATTGCGGGACATATTCTTGAATTCAATTTTGGAATAGGGCAGATTGCTAGGGAACAAATGGCTGGAGGTATGTGAGACACCCATTTGTCACAGACATGATCCCTTTTAGGTGAGAGATTATTGTAACAGATCTCAAAAATTAATATAAAGGATTCCTAAATGCTTGGGGACTTTTCCAGGCACAATGGCTGGTGATTCTGTTAGTTGGTGATTTTGTTGAGGCCTTAGTTTTGCTGTGGAACAGTGTGGTGAGAAGGGACTTACAGAAAGTTTCTTAGTTTACTAAACAACTTCTGGTGATGAACTGAACTGACAGACAACTAGAGTACAAGTAGAGTCTTGCAGTGAATCTGACTGCACAGAGATCAGAGTGCCCAGTCATGCCAGTTGTGTGGAGGTGGAAGTAAAAGGAGCTTCTTTAGCACCATTGCATCCTCAGTGCAGTCTTACCCAGTAAGACATTCTTGGGTGCTCAAGGCTAATCCTGAAGCAGATTGAGCTGACAATTCAGTATCCTTTGGGGATTAGTTTGCAATGCATTTTGCAGATAAAGGCATTTGTATCCATTGCAAATTAGGCACTCTAATTTGTACAGCTTCTGTGAGAAAGTAATTATGTGATCTGTCTTGAAGAGGATCTCCTTGGACCCTGTGGTATGGGGCAAATGCATACCTTTTGCAAGTATATTTTTTTTCTTGAGCAAAGTGTTAGGGAAGATAGTGATAACCAGCCACAGTTGTGGTCCGAAGAAGCCAATTCTCCAGCTCTGTCACAGACTGATTTTAGCCTTGAATATGACAATAAACAACCTTGTTGGCCCTGATCAGTAATCTCTACTAAGAAAAAGACATAGGATATGCTACCATGCTGATTCTCCTGGATCTCTGAAGGTCCCTTCAATATCATTGATCCCGGCATACCTCAGCAACAGTTCGGACGGGAAATTGGAAGCACGGGGTTAGGATGGTTCCATTCTTACTTGCAGCTCGGTCTTTAGAGAATGGCAGTGGAAGATTTTTGTTGTCCCATGATGTTCAAGTTGTGATTTCCCATCTGCTGGGGATAGTCTTCTGTAGAGGTTTGGTGTCAATAGAATATCTCAGTTCTCTCTCCAGATCAGAAGAGATTGTACAGATACTTGATAACTGCCTGCAGGCTGGCTGAGAGCCAACAAACTGATAAGACTGAAGTTCTGCAGAAGGGAATTAGGAAGGTGGCCCACACATGAATAATGCACAGCACTTCCTGGACCCACACAGTCACTGTAATCCCTCAAGCTAAACCTTATCAACCAAGAGCCAAGAGAACAAGTCTTATTCACTTCTACAAGCTGCAAGAAATGCAGTAGATCTCACAAATGTTGAGTAGGCATACCACCAAGATCACCAAGGAAAATTAAATGCTACCTCCTTTCTGTTAATTCAAACACACAAGGGCAAAGCCCATTTTTTATTAGCAAACACATAAACAGCAGAGAGAAACCAGGCTGGAGATTGGGCTTGGAGAAAGAAAAAAAAGCAGATTTCAAGAGCCAGTCTAAATGTGCTATGAGTAAATTCATACAAAATGTATAACGAGTAGGTTCATTCATTTTGAAATGAAAACCGCTATGAAAGAAATCAGTCAAGGAATCACTTTGAACACAACCAAAATAAATTCAAAACTCTAATGAAATCTAATTAATTACTGAATTTGGAAGTCTGAGTCCATTCGATTTTCTGGAAAGACCTCTTTTCTTTGTCTTCCCCTAGAGCCAAGTTGCTTTCCCTAGGAAGCTTCAAAGACCAAAGCAGTCAGCAAGCTCCTTCCTGAGTAGTTAGCCTCCTGGTTGGAGTAGGGGAATAGTGTTTGCTCAGGAAGTTAGCTAAATGTCCCTCTTGGATTTCCTTACTACAGGAAGAAGATATATTATAGCCACTGTATGTGCATTCTGATCCAGTGAGGACCTCAAAAGGCTTACCAAACCTTTTTACAGATCTAGGCCAATATTTCTACCCATAACATCTGCTCTTAGATATTGCCCTCCAGATATCTGAGATAAAGATAGAACTAGAGTCAACAATGTAGCTGATGCCTGGCATTGAGCTTGTATAGGGAGTCCCTTATACTTTTCAAAGGAATTTCTATCCAGCACAACTAGAAGGATTCCCCTATTTATTAAACATCTTCATACCATCTTTATGACAAGCAGGTGAAATGTGGGAATGTGTAGTTCCAAGATGTCCTGTGCACTTTTACTGTGCTGGGCAAAACAGAAAAAGAGAGGTCCTGGTGAATATGGAAAAAGTCATGAAAAGAGGAATTCTTGAGCAGGTCTGCAATTTCCATAAACAGAAGAAACAGAAGCCTCAGAAGAGCAAGATCAAAGACAGAGCTTGCTTGAATCAAGGCATTTTAAGTGGTAGCATCACTATCTGCCTTTACAATAATAATTTAGATGATCTGGACTTCAAACCTGACCTCAGACTTCCACTTCCTTGCTTTATTAATAAGCATAGATTTTTTAAATAAATGCTGAGGATGCTTGCTGCCAGAAGAATCCCTATACTGAGCTATACCAGTGGCCAATCCAATGTAGCCTCCTGTTTGCTTCATGCTCTCACAGGTGTTTCAGGGAAATACATAAGAAAGGCCAAGGAAGGAATAATCAGTGGGCTTTTGATAGTCAGAAATATATAGACTAGATCTATGGAGGTTTGCTTCATAGAAGAGTTTGCATTATACAAGTGATGTGAAGCACTCAGGGCAGCAAATCATGTCACCTCAAAAGTCTACCATTTCCAAATTGTGTAACTTCCTCTAAGTGTTCCATTATTGGAAGTTGGAAGCAAGAAGGTCAGGTGAAATGAAGCACCATGGCCATCACATTGTGTTTAGACATGTGAGGGCCACATTACTTTGAGAAGTGACTCTGAAAGGATGCTTCACTCAAAGCATTGGTGAAGTGAACCTTCAAAGGTTTACATAATATATAGGTCCCTAACCAACCTTGGCTCATTTCAAAAAAATGGGGTGGTTTTTTTTTGTATTGATTTTTGTTCTTAAAATTGTAAACCACCCAATGTTACTGGCAGTTGGGTGACATATAAATTTAATAAATTATTATTGTTATACCAAAAAACCCAACATGGATATGTCCATGAAGCCACCAAGAGTTTAACTTTTTGAAATCAGCCAATAGAATAAGTGGTTCTCCTCTCATTTTCTTAATCAAAAGAAATTCTAAAATCTTATAGCAACTTAAAGATGGATGGATCAGCTCTGTGCACCTGAAAAAAGAGAACCCGATGATCAAAAAATCATTGGAGACCCTTCCAACTTCATGCTGTTCACTGGTGTGCAAATCACTGATCCTAATGCCCAATTTCACTGAGAAAACATGGATGGACTGCCATTTTCCCTTGAAAAGCCCAAGTACAAAACTGATAAGACCTCTCCCTGTGAGAGTGGGAAGATTTTGAGCAAGGGAGCAATTAAATCAGGTGCCAGAAACTCTGGCAAGATTCCCTCTTGATGCCAATTCATTTACTTCCATGCTTCATGGATATCCTTTTATATTCCTTTATTATAGTGCTATACCATAAATATTTTCTGAATTTTACTTTCCTATTCTCAGTTTAATGGGAAAGAAATTACTTTCTTTTTTCCCAAAGAAAAAATTCAGTAAACTTCTCACAAGAGTGAAGTTGAGGTTTGGCAATTTCTTTAGTTTCAAGTTGTGAGTGTGTGAGTTTTCCACTGCTAATATTTTTCAGAGAAATGTAGCTTCCTCCCCCCCCCCACTTTACAATTAAATTTCAAGGCTAGGCATTATGTCATAACTCCTTTCATGCAATCTTTTCAGATTAGGATGTATGAGCAGCCAAGGGGCTGTAGAGTGATTGAAATATGAGCAGCAGAAAACTGCACATACAAGAATAAAGTACATGCCGAAACATAACTAAAAGACATTTGAAAGCACTGTGAAAATGAGGAAGAAAACAGAATCTTCTTTCAGTGGTAACTGCTTTCTTTGGAAATTGAAAGACAAATTTCAGCACTCAGTTTCTCAGTTTAAGTTTCAGAACTCGGTTTCAGACATCAATATTGCTCATTTCTGATTTGACACAGTGTACTGCAGGTTTTGTTTCTGAGAAGAAGAGCCTCATGAGAAGGTTGTAGCAGTCCCAGTGCTTGGGGATTCTGGTGTCATATATGTTTCTCTACCTTTGCTGCTACTTATCCACATTGGAGCATCCTCAGAGGATACCAAATATGTTTTGAGTACTAGCCACCCATAACTTCAGTCACTCTAAGTCAGAGTAGGATGTGGTAGACATTTTTGCCAGG